AAAAGCTACTTCTGTTTATATCATTGAGTGCACTGATTTATGGCATATTATATTAGAAAATCTAAATCTAAATGCAATTAAACGATTTATGAATTTAGAGTTAATTCATAATTCTAAATTTAAGTCACTTAAAAAATGTGAAATTTGTGTTGAAGCCAAAATGGCTAAGTTACTTTTTCATTCGGTGGAAAAAAGTACTGAACAGTTGGGCTTGATCCAGACTAATGTATGTGATCTGAAAATTGTGCAAGCAAGAATGGGTAAAAAGTATTTTATAACTTCTATTGATGATTGCACAAAGTTTTGCTACTTACATTTATTAAGAAGCAAAGACGAAGCATTTAAAAACTTTAAGACTGAAGATGAAAATCAACTCGGCAAAAGGATTAAAATAATCCGAAGTGATCGGTGTGGGGAGTATGTAGCTCATTTGGAACAAATATGTTCTGAATATGACATAATCATCAAACGATGGCTCCCTATTCTCCACGTTCGAACAATGTTGCTGAACGTAATAACCGAACCTTAAAAGAATGATGAATGTCATGTTGATAAACTCGAGATTATTCCAAAACATGTGGGGAGAAGCTATTTTAACAGCAAATCATATACTGAAAAAAACACCACCTAAAGGAAAAAAATGAGACTCCTTACGAAATGTGGAAAACATCATAAGCCGTCTTATAAGTAGAATTATTAGTTGGTACCACAATTGAGTCGTGGAATGCTTATTTGAGAATATTTTTTCTCTGAAAGAAAGGGCAGAATCTAGTTCTAACAAAAAATGTATAAAACTGCTAGCAGTTCTGTAACGAATAGTACTGAAGAAAAAGATGAAGAACCGAGACGTGGTAAAAGGGTAAAAACAGCGAAAATGTTTCGACCTGATTTTATTACGTATATGTTGGACGATGAATTGAGTTACATTAAGAAAGCCCTGTCCAGCCTAGATGGACCAATCTGGAAAGAAGCTATAAATAGAAAAATCGAGTCCATTATGAAAAATCATACTTGGGAGTAGGTTGATCTCATTGCGGGTTGTAAATCTTTAGTATGCAGGTGGATCCTAAAGAGAAAATACAATGCTGATGGAATGATTGACAAGTTTAAAGTACGATTGGTGGTCAGAGGCTTTAAACAAAAAGAAGGGTACGAGTTATTTGATACCTATTCATCTATTACGCGTTTAGCGTCCATAAGAGTAATTCTCTCAATTGCTGCTTTGCACAATCTTAAGATTCACCAAATGAATGTCAAGACGCTATTCTTGAATGGTGAATTGGAATAGCGATATACATGGAACAACCCAAGGTTTTGTAGCACGTGGACAAGAGAAAAATTTGTGCAAGTTAATCAAATCCTTGTATGGACTGAAACAAGTTCCGAAGTGTTGTCAAATGATTTCAAAATCAACGAATGTGACAAATTTATTTATGTTAAGAACACATCAAATACATTTGTAATTCTATGTCTATGTGTAGATGATATGTTGATCATAGGGAGTAGCCATGAAGTGATCATGGATACAAAAAAAAATGTTGAAAATAAATTTCGACATGAAAGATATAGGTATAGCTAATGCAATTCTTGAAATAAGGATTATTATAATCCAAGATATTATTGTTTTGTCTCAATTTAGACGATATGTTGATCATAGGGAGTAGCCATGAAGTGATCATAGATACAAAAAGAATGTTAAAAATAAATTTCGACATGAAAGATATGGGTATGGCTAATGCAATTCTTGGAATAAAGATTATTAGAATCAAAGATGGAATTGCTTTGTAACAATGTCACTACGTAGAGAAAATGCTCAAGAAATTTAATGCCTATGATGGTCCGCGGTCTAGGGCACCCCTTGATCTTAGTTTAAATCTGGCAGCCAATAAAGTTTAACCAGTAGCTCAGTTGAAATATTCACGGATAATATGGAGTCTGATGTACTTAACCTATTCAGTGAAAAGTGGAGTAGATTTACGAGCAATCCTAGTCATGAACACTAGAATGCTTTGAAAAGGGTACTTAAGTACTTAGAGTAAACCCTTGAATATGGGCTAAAATACTCGAGATACCGAGTTGTACTTGAACGGTACTTTGATGCAAGCTGGATATTAGATTCGACAAATTTTCACTCCACGAGCGGATATGTTTTCTATATTGGAGGAGGTGTTGTTTCTTCAAAATCCACAAAGAACTTGTATAGCTCGGTCAACCATAGAATCTAAATTCATCGATTTAGATAAAGATGGTGAAGAAGTCGAGTGGCTATGGAACTTTTTATTCGATATTCCATGTTGGAATAAGCCTTTGTCGCCTATGATGATTCACTGTGATAGCAAACCTGCTATAGGAAGGACGAAAAGCAATATGTATAACGGTAAGTCTAGACATATTCGTCGTAGACATAATACTGTTCGTCAATTGATCATAAATGGTATTATTTTCATTAACTAGGTAAGGTCTAAAGAAAATAAGTTTGATTCTTTTACTAAAGGAATGAATAGAGATCAATTCAGAATACTGCTACTGGGAATGGACTTAAAAATCCACAATTAAAAGAATGGTGTTAGTGGTGACCCTACCTTGATGTATGGAGATCCAATGAACTTGGTTCAAGGGAAAAGCTAAGCTATGAAAATTCAGCTAAGCACTTGGAACATAAGAATGTGAAAAGTTATTCTTTAAAGCAATCCAAGTGTAAGAATATCTGTTGATTGTGGGGAGGGTAAGTCATCAGGACTATTAATAAATCTCTAACTTTTTAAAGGTGGAGTAATACAAGATACTCTTGATAGAGAGGTCACTTATATAAGTGTAAAGTGAGGGCCGCTTCAAATGTAAACATTTATGAATCCAAAGTGTTGTCCATGGCTAAATAGGACACAACAATAGAACGGAATGGAGTTAAAGCTTTATTGTATGAATTTTATTGTCTTGGTGTACACTATGAAGTAATAGTTCAAGGCACTATGTCTACTAAGCCACCAATACATACTATGATGTTTACTAAGAAATGTTCAAAGCTACAAGTTGCCTTTTCTAATGCATAGAGTCTTATGAGGATTGAGCACAAGAGTCTGCATACATGTATGCATTTAACTTCGACTCATGTGGAGGATTGTTGGAAATATTCACTTATAAAACTTCGGTTTGACCCGATTTTGAGTGAACTTTTGATGGCTAAATATTTAATTTGGGCTGAATTAAATTGTGTAGAAACATTCTACGTTCCGAGTACATACTCATGGTATATTTATTTTCTCAATAATTATACTTTTTTAACATTCATAATATACTTTATAAATTTAATTAACTATAGTAATTTTCTGAATAGATTAAAGTGCCTCATAACATTATGGCGCTTCAATTCAACGTTACATTATGATTCTTTGTGCTAAATGTTATTACATAATGCAATTACCTTGTTTGCATATTTTTAGCTTACATGTGTGTTATGAAACTAGTAATTGTTATGATGTGCTAATTAGAGGCAATGTCTAATGGTGTGCTAACGACGTGTCTCAGTAATAATCATGTGTAAAAATTTTATCTTATACAAACTCATTCGCGTATGCATTATCTTCATATATAGTTTTATTTTTTTTTTATATTTGACTTTAAAATGCTTATCTGTGTGTTATGAAACTAGTTTTAT